GGTGATCCTTCTGCTTCAGCCCCCTGAGTGGTGGGATTATAGGTGTGTACCACTACACCCAGCTAAAGAATAACCAACTCCATTTTGATAAATCAACTAGACAGAGCAGACACAGACTCTGTCCAGGCAAAATCCCAACCAAGGAAGATGCTTCCAAAGAACTAAGATGTAATTTTACCACCTTAGAGGACTGGGGATTTAGCTCAGTGGCATAAGCACCTGCCTTGCAAGCAGGTGGTCATTGAGTTCGATCCCCGGTACCGGCAAAAAAAGAGAAAAAAAAAATTTAATTTTACCACCTCGCAGATTTTTTTTTGTTTGTTTGTTTGTTTTGTTTTATGGGTACCGGGGATTGAACTCACGACCCCCTGCTTGCAAGGCAGGTGCTTATGCCGCTGAGCTAAATCCCCAGCCCCTCGAAGATTTTTTTTCACAGCTATAATTAAAATGGCAATACTTCATTCATTTTCCAAATCGTATCTATGCTTCCCCAGTGCCCTTTTTTTTTAACCTAAGATGGGTCAGTAATACACAGGGGTGGACATCAGCAGCACGGAATTTACTCTTTAAAAGTATAAAGAGAAGCCATGCATGGTGGTGCACATTTGTAATCCCAGTATTCTGGGAGGCCGAGGCAAGAGGATCATAATTTCAATCCCAGCCTGGGTAAAAGACTGTGACATAATAACTAAACACAGTCTGAGGATGTAGCTTAGTGCCAAGGCCCTGAGTAACAAACAAAAGCAACAATAAATTACAGGCTGGGCATGATGGCATATGCCTGTAATCTCAGCACTCAGGAGGCTGAGGCAGGAGGATTGCTGCAAATGCAAGGCCAGCTTGCATTACAAAGTGAGTTCGAGGCCAGCCTGTGCATAGTGCATAGTCTCAAAAAAACAAAAAGAGGGCTGGGGATTTAGCTCAGTGGCATAAGCACCTGCCTTGCAAGCAGGCGATCGTGAGTTCGATCCCTGGTACCGATAAAAAGTTAAAAAAAAAAAAAAAAAAGAAAAAATTTGGCACACCATATGGCTAATAAAAGCAGTACCATTATAAATAGTTTCTGAAATGCCCTGTGGGTAATTTGTAGAGTAACTGCTATTCTTTAAAAATTAACATAAAAGCCAAACACCTGTGGATGGAGGTACAGCTCAGCAGTAGATCACATGCTTGGTATAGAGAGGGTCCTGGGTTAGATCTCCAGCAGACTCCCCCTCAAAAAAACTAAATACTGAGCCTAACACAGAACCAGATTGGTCTCATTTCCCTGACATTATAGAACATAGAAAAAGCAGAGGAAACTAAGCAAAGAAAAAGAAATGACAGATATAAGATATCTATTAGAAGATATAAGAAGTACCAAAAATCAGGCACAAACACTTTTCATCTCAGAATCACTTATAGACAAGAGTCATTCCAGAGTCATCAGTGCAATGAGAGGTACAGGTAAAGATATGGTTATAAACAGAGAAGATAGAGACAGAGATAGAGATGAAGATAGAGAAAGAGAAACACTGATTTGGGTGGGATTTTAGGTCAACAGGCTCTGGAGGAGTTAAGATCATAACCTTTCCATTTAGCTCTCACCAATGGGAACGAGTGAGGCTCTACAGAGTGACACCCACTGAACCTGGAAAATGTACTCTCACTAGATGGCTTAAGGCAGAAACCAGTCACCCATATAAAACAAGGAAGGAAGGTTTCAGAAGAGATCGGGCATGTTCAGAGTGGAATGGCTATAGACAGGCCTCGCAGTTTCAGAAAGCCAGATTTATGTTTTTCAATCCCAGCCACTAAACTCCCTAAGCTGCTTTGCTAGAGCAAAACAATCCAACCTGACCACTACTGATTCCTGCCTTTGCACAAAAAGAAACTTGGAAACATACCAAGAGGGGGTGTTTGCTGATAGCCTGGCACTGGACCATTGTAGGCTCCATAGGAAGCTGGAGGTGCTGCAGACCCTGGCTGCCCACTGTAATTGGACTGATGATACCCTGGGTAAATGGGCTGCGGCTGCCCAAATGGCGGCACAGGTGGAGCTGACTGGTTGACATTCATTATGAGAGCATCCCCAACTTGGTCTCACCTATTAGATGACAGAAAAGAGAGAAATTAGTCAAAACACATACTATCCTTTTTTTTGGACAGGGTTCTTGCTATGGAGATTAGGCTGGCCTTGAACTCAGGTAGCTGGCCTTGAACACACAGCAATCTTCTTGCCTCAGCCTCTTGAGTGCAATGATTATAGGTAGGCTCCACCAGGCCTGACAAGTCAAAACAAGTTTTCTGAAGAGAGAGCAACTACTCAAGTTAAGAAGTAGAGATAAAAAGGGATTGACCTCATGAGGCAGTGATCAGCTTAATCATTCCCACACTGCCACTGGATCTCTTTCTGCCCCAACCAGTATCCAGTTATGCTTCCTTAAAGAAAGGATTTTGTTACTGTGAATTCCACTTTGGCTTTGACACTGCCAAGTGGGTATAAATTTCAGCTTCATACAGACCCACTAGAATGAAGCAGCAGCCTCCACTTTCCAATGGTATGATTTTTTTTTTTTTTTTTTTTTGTCTTTTTCCTTTTTATCGGTACTGGGGATCGAACTCATGACTGCCTGCTTGCAAGGCAGGTACTTATGCCGCTGAGCTAAATCCCCAGCCCAACAATGGTATGATTTCTAGTGTCTAGTTACCAAGAATCTTATGGCTGCTGAATTACCACAAAGTTACAGATAAATGAAAGAATGTCTCCATTTTCCACTGATTCTCTCCAGCATTCACTCAACCATTCCTTCAATAAACAATGAGTATCCTCTAGTGTGCTGTTTTTTCTTTTTTTCCCAAGACAGAGTCTCTCTGTGTATCTCAGGCTGGTCTTGAACTCACTATGGAGCCCAGGCTGGCCTTGAACTCACAGCAATCCTCCTGGCTCATCCCCCTGAGCACTGGGCAGGTGTGTGCCAGCACCAATCCTGACTGTGCTAGTTTTTTTTTTTTTTTTAATCGGTATTGAACTCATAAGGCAGGTGCTTATGCCGCTGAGCTAAATCCCCAGCCTATGCTAGTTGTTTTTAATCACAAGGCAAAAGTCGAGGTTTAATTGGCAAAATCTCTCCCCTTCAAAAGACAAACTTTTGGGTTAGGGATATATCTCAGTGGCACAGTAAGGTAGTGAGTTCAATTCTCAGTATAAAAAAAAAGACAACTTTTTAAGAGTAACAGTTTAAGAAATGACATCTGTGGCTGAACCATAACAATCCCCAAAAGCCACTCCAATCTCAGCCTTTCTGCTAAAGAATGTATGACAGCCCAGTGTAGTGGTACATGCCTGTGATCCCAACTATTTGAGAGGTTTTGGCAGATCATGAGTCCCAGCAAACCTCCATCACAAAAACACAAAATAATAAGAGTATATGAACTGAAACATTAATTACCAAATGCAAAAAAGTTTAGCGAAGCAACTGATTAAAACTTGAGTTAAGCCAAAACATCTTCTTCACATAAGTTATACAGGCAGTTAGAAAGTAAGTGGCAGGTAGGACTTCATGGAGAAAAATCATTCATCTTTTCCCTCAAAGAGAGCACTGTGTGTCTTTTAAAATCCTAGTGCACTTCTCCATTGTTTCTGCTCTTGAGAGGCTCAGGGAGGATTGTACCGAGTTCGAGGCCAACCTGGGCTACAAAGTGAGCTCAATGCCAGCCTGTGAGACAGTGAGACAGTGTTTCAAAAAGAGAAATAAATAAATACATGATCATTATGAATGTAGGGCACCATCAAACTCACTACAATCTTGCCCAGGCAATAAGTGATAGAGAGCCTTAGGAGGTTCAGTTCTTGTTCTTCCATAAAAAGGAGATCATATCTATTATACAAAGCTTTATCATCCTAATTATCCTAAGCTGAAGGGGCCAGGCAAGATACCCTGAAGCATGAGGATCGCCAACAGTTCAAGGCCAGCCTGGGCTATATAAGCCCAGTTCTAGGCCAGTCTGGACCATATAGTGAGATGGTGTCTCAGAAAAAAAAAAAAAAAAGAAAGAAAAAGAAAGGAAGGAAGAGGCAGAAGACCTCACAAGAGCTACTACAAAACAATGAGGATCTCCTCTTGGCTAGGAAAGGCTAGCTTAACTACAGAACATCTGAGTTGCTCCTGGACTAGCATTCTAAACTCCAACCCACCAAATCCTAAACCTTACACAGGGTCACTGACTCTAAATTTGACAGATATCTGCCTCCCCTTCTTTCTAAAGTCAGAGGAGTTTCTTCATCGGAAAATTATTCTCTCAAACACACTCTAGAACTTGGAATCATACTCTCCTCTTGATTCCATTCTAGATGGACAGTTCAGAGTGACAACCCAAGGGGGCGGGGCAAGCTTCCTAGAACTCTGAAAGTAGTCGAGCTTTGGAGGCTGGGAGTGCCCAGGATCAAGATCTAGACGACAGCTTCTCAGGCCATGGTCAGAGAAAAACCTAGTCCATTGAGCATTAAAGAACGGTTGTGTTGCGCCCTTCGAGAGACTCGGAGCAGGAAGCAGGAGCCGGAACCTGCGCCGTGAGCAGAAAGAAGAGACTAGGACTGATCCTCAGTCGTGGATGCAGTGAGGGTCTCTTTTTCGGGCCCTGCCCGCAGGCTCCTCTCTTCCTTCCAGAACCGGACTCCGATCTGGATAGTAATACCCCATCCTCTTCTCTACACTGCTACCCACCACCCAACCTCCGATGCCACTCCTCACCCGGCTCCAGATCCAGGTTCGCCTTCGTTCCTACGTCTTAGGCACCCAGGCTCCACTTCCGGTTCCGACCTGGAGCCTTGGCATCGCCCCCGGAAGTTCAGCCTCCAGGCTCCAGTCGCGGCCACTCCTTCTGCCACGTCGACATTAGGCACGCATTCGAGAACCCGGATGCTGCGCGTGCGCTACTGGTCTCTTTTTTTCATGGCTGCTTCTTGGGAAGTTCTTCTGGGCTGTATGCATTTTCATTGTGTTTTTGTTCTTTAGAATGTGTTGGTCACTTTATGACTGCACGAACTAAGATACGATTGAGAAGACTCGGTCAAACTACTTTCGTAACGCTTCTTTAATCAGGCTGTGACGTATTTGTGAACTGTGGCCTGCAGCCACTTCCTGCTGACCCTTGAACTCGGTGACTTCCGTCTGTGTTGCGCTCACCTCTGAACTGTGTGCAAAGTGTAGTGGTGGCAGTAAAAGGTACTAATCTTACTGTTGGGCGATGTGCAGGAGTTTGCGTTCTGGCTCTGCATTACCCCAACTTGGGCAACTTTTTTGCCTCAATTTCATCTGTAGAATCACAGTCATAGCCAGCTAAGGACTTGTTGACATCATAGTAAGGCGTAGGTAAAAGTTACTAGCCTTTTTTGTATACTGTCCTCATGTTTGTTTTGTTGTTCTTTTCTTTTGGGAACTTGTTCTCACCATGTTGCCTCGTCTGGCCTTGAACTTCTGAACCTCCAGCGTCAGCCTCCCAAGTGTTGACATTGTGAGTTTAGAGTTCTACCAAAGGCAAAAATTCTCTTCTGTTCGAAAAGCTAAAAGTTAGCAAGACCCTTTCTCCACAAAAAGGCTGGACACTGAGAAACAGCACAGTAAAAAACAAATACAAAACAAGCCAATGGTATGTATAGTACAATGCCTGACATTTAGTGTTTTGTCTTCTTGAAGGGGTTTTGTTTGTTCACTTTTTGAGCTGAGAGTCTCAAACTCCTGGATTCAAGGGAGCGTGCTCCCTCAGCTTTCCTGTTGGCCAGGACTATAGACATGGACCACTGCCCTCAATTTGATATAAATATAAATAGCAAATGAAGGGATATCTAGTCTTTTTACTGATGAGGCCAAGTGGCTATATTCGATGACACAGCTGATAAATGATGAAACAAGAATTCATGTGCAGTTTTTTTTGTGTGTTTGTTTGTTTGGTACCAGGGATCAAACTTATGACCTTGCGCTTGCCAGGCAGGTGTTTATGCTGCTGAGCTAAACCCCCACCCTCTCAGGTACAGTTCTTAGGGACCAAAAATGCCCATGCTTTCTGACCACTTCTTACACCAGGGCAAAGGGCATTTAGTTCAGTGAGAAGCAGCACTTCCATGAAACTTTAGCTTTTGATAGTCACAGTTACAGCACCACAGTGTTAGACTTCAATGTAGGGCACGTTCATGCAGTGGAAAGCTATAAACGAGGTTTTACTGAAACTGGTCCCATCACACCCAGGTCAGGGATTTTAGTCTTTTTTTTTTTTTTTTTTTTTTTTGTCTTTTTGAGACAGGATTTAGCTATGCAGTTTAGGCTGGCCTTGAACTCACTTTGTAGCCCATACTGGCCTCTAATTCAGAGCAATCCTCTTGCCTCAGCCTCCCAAGCACTGGTATTATAGAAGTATGCCACCACACCTGGTTAGGGATTTTAGTCTTTTAGTTACTTGATTTTAGTTGATTTTTTTTAAAAAAGTCACTACTTTTTCTTTTGTACTGGAGATTGAACCCAAAGGCATTGTACAGTGAGTTACATCCCTGTAAATTCTTTCTGTGTGTATCAGGATGACCTGGAACACAGTCATCATCTTGTCTCAGCCTCACAAACGCTATGGTTATAGGAGTGCACTACTATACCCATTTTTCCAGACTTCCATTTTTTAATTTTTTTTTTTTTTTTTTTTTTTGGTGCCAGGGATCGAACTCTGACCTCATGTTTGCCAAGCAGATGCTTAAATCATTGAGCTAACTCCCCGGCCCATTTTGAATTTTTTTCTCAACTTTTTTTGATACTGAGAATTGAACTCAGGACTTTGCTCTTTTTTTTTTTTTTTTTTTTTGTCTTTTTCCTTTTTTATCAGTACCAGGGCTCGAACTCACGACTGCCTGCTTGCAAGGCAGGCGCTTATGCCGCTGAGCTAAATCCCCAGCCCCTGGGACTTTGCTCTTGCCAGGCTTAGGTACTTATGCCTGTCAGCTATATCCCCAGCACCACCTGTTTTTTTATTGGTACTTTTTTTTTTTTTTTTTTGATACTGGGAATCTAACTCATGACCTTGCACTTGCCACACAGGCACTGTACCTATTGGTACATTTTAGATAGATGGATAGATGACACTTCTCATAGGGAACTTGCACCTGTATATGATGTTGCTTGTTTCTTTTTTTCTCATTCCCCTCCCCACTTGAATCTTTTTCCTGTTTTTATTTACAAAAGCTGGGGTTTTGTTTTGTTTTGTTTTGTTTTTGTCTTTTTGAGACAGGGTCTCACTTTGCAGTTTAGGCTGCTTGGGGCTCACTTTGTAGCCCAAGCTGGTCTTGAATTTGGAATGATCCTCCTGTCTCAGCCTCCCGAGTAGTGGGGTTACAGAAGTGCACTACCATACCCGGCTTGCAAAAGCTTTGTTTCTGTTTTTTCCTATTTTATTTCTTGTCCTTTGCTTCCTTTCTTCCTCCTCCCTCCTTTGTTTCTCTTCTCATTTGAACATATTTTTTCCATTTCCCAATATCTGGTGTACGTTTTGATCCTTATTTACACTTTTGGTTTCTCATACCAGAGAAATATTGTGGTTTCTAAACATGGGTGTCTCATTTGTTTTACTTAGAAGTATGGTCTCAAGGTGCATCCATTTATCTAGAAATGTCTCAGCTGGAGCTTGAAAGGATTTTGCCCTAGATAGGACACTATAGCAGTGAGAGGTGGGACCAAGGGACGTTTACCTTGAGGTCATTTTCCCCACCCTAGGCAATTTACCTGTGGCTCCAAAAGAATTCCAATTGGCTGCTTGCACATTAGTGATGCCCCCTTTAGGCACCACCCCAGACCAAAGCTATATGTATGCCCCGTACACCACGTGTCCAGCAGAGAAAGCTAGGCCCTGGTGGTCCTGGAGTTTCACTCTGCGTCCTTAGACTAAAGGCCATTTTTACTTTGTATTCTCTCTTATAACTGTGCCGAAAATCCTATTAGAGTTTATCTTTCTTTATATCAGAGTAATACTCCATTTTATGTATATATATTTTAAAAACACCACCTCTTCTTTACCCATTTATCTGTTAATGGGCATTTAGGTTGTTTCCAACATTTAGCTATAAATTATGGGATGATAAACATGGGTGTGCATATATTGAAGTGATATGGTCCTTTTAATTCTTTTAGGAAGATTCCAAGAAAAGAATGTATGGGTTAAATAGAATCTCTAGTTTTGTGGGGGGTTGGCAGGGTTTTACTATGCATTTCACGCTGGCCTTCAGCACACTTTGTAGCCTAGAATGGCTTTAATCCCAAGTGCTGGGATTATAAGCATGCGCCACCGACCCAGCTAGTTTTAGTTTTTTGAAGAATCTCAACACTGATTTTCACAGTGGTTGCCAATAGTGAAGAAAGGTTTCTTTTTCCCCACAACCTTGCCAGTATTTGTTATTGGTTGATTTATTGACAATAGCTATTCTTTCTGGAGTAAGATGAAATCTTAAGGTTGTTTCAATTTGCATCTCTCAAGTGACCAAGTGATGCATTAACGTTTTTTCATATATTTATTTGATGTTTTTACTTAGTCATCTGAGAAGTGTCTATTCATTTCAGATGCCCATTTTTTGGACTGGGTCTTTAAATATAGTGGGAGCTTATCTTTGCAAGTCCTTTATATACTCATATATATCCTATATGTGTTATATATTATATAATATATATGTGTATCTATATATATATTTATAAGTATATATCTCCCTTGAGGAACAGTTGATAAAACTTTTTTTCTACACTGGTTTCTCTTCATTCTGTTGGTGATTTTTTTTTTGCTGTGAAAAACTTTTTAATAAGATGAGATCCAGTTATGATTCTTGGGATATTTCCTGTATGTATTGGTCAGGGTTTTACTAGAGAGAACAGATATAACCCGGAATATACAAAAACAACAAGATTAGCTTACGATAGTCAGTCACAGAGTCCGATGAGGAAGCGTGCAGAGGGTGTCTATGCACTGTAGGCCGAAGGATTCAATCCAAGATCTGGAGTTCACCCTAGTGTCTTGTGCAAGTCCACACCAGCAGGCTGATGGGTCCTCGACAGAAGGCCAAAGGCTCTGTGATGAAAAGCTGAACAGTCTACGCTGGGAAGCTGAAGAGTCTGTACTGGAAGCCAGGAGGCGAGGTCCAAACTAAAGGTGAAGACTGGAGCTTCTCCCAAGAATGGCATGGATTTGTCCTTCCTCCTCTCCTTTTATACCTCGAAGTGAGAACTCACCCTCTTGTGGGTCTTCTTCTACATCCTTGGGTGTAGAATTGCTAAACCCATTTAGTTAGCTTCTAACTGTCTCAAGTTGACACAATCAATCAACCACTAGACTGTACAATCAGGGTTTAGTTCATAAAAATCTTTGCCTAAACCAGTGTCTTCAAGAGGTTTATGTATGTAATCTAACAGTCTTAAGCAGTTTAGTGCTTCTGTTTTATTTTTATTTTTGGTACTAGAGATCAATCAAACTCATGACCTTGTATTTGCCAGGCAGGTGCTTGTGCTGCTGAGCTAAACCCCCAACCCATGCTTCTGTTTTAATCTTTAGATCTTTGCCCTATTTTGATTTTAGTTTAGTACATGGTCAAGGATATAGGTCTAACTTTAAGCTTTGGCATGTGAAAAGCTGGTTTTTCCACACCATTTATTAAAGAAGCTATCTTTTTTCCAGTGAAGGTTATTGGCCTCTTTCTTAAATAAAGATAAAGTGGCTGAGTATGTTTGGAGTTGTTTCTGAGTCTTCTAATCTGTTCTATTGATCCTTGAGTCTGTTTTTTCCCCACAGTACCATGATGTTTTTATCACAGCAATTTCATAGTATAATTTCAAGTCAGGAATTGAGATGCCCCCTGCCTTGCCTTTGTTGCCCAGAATTGCTTTTGTTATTCTAGGTCTCTTCTGGTTCCAAATGAATTTTAGGATTGTTTTCTCTAATTCTGCCAGATATAGTATTGGAATTTTAATCAAGGTTGCATTAAATCTGTATAACAATTTTGGAAGTATGGCCATTTTTACTGTATTGGTTTTTCCTACCCAAAAACAAGGGATGTCTTTCCATTTTTTGATATCCTTTTTGATCTCCTTTTTTTCTGAATACTGTAGTTTCAATAGAAAGATCTTTTACTTCCTTCATTAGATTGATTCCTAAGTATTTCATTCTTTGGATGCTGTTATGAAAGGTGTTGTCTCCCTAATTTCTGTCTCAGAGAGTTTCTTATTTGCATACAGGAATGCTATTGATTTTTGAGTGTTGATTTTGTATCCACCTAGAGTACTGAATATAATTATTAAATCTAGAAGTCTTTTGGTGAACATTTTGAGGTTTTCAATGTAAAATATATGTCAACCACAAATAATAATAATTTAACTTTTTTTTTTTTGTCTTTTTCGTTTTAATCAGTACCAGGGATCAAACTCACAACCACACACTTGGAAGGCAGGCACTTATGCCGCTGAGCTAAATCCCCAATCCCCCCCCCTCCTTTTTTTTCTTTTGAGACAGGGTCTTGCTGCCTTAGCCTTCTGAGTGCTGGGATTACAGATGTGAGCCACCACTCCTGGCAATAATTTAACTTCTTCGTTTCCTATCCTTATTCGTTTTATTTCTTTCTCTTGTCTAATTGCTCTGATGTTTCCAGAACTATATTGAATAAGAGTGGTGACAGTGGATCTCTTTCTCTTGTTCCTGATTATAGAAAGCTTTCAGTTTTTGTTTTGTTTTGTTTTGTTTTTGTGCCGGGGATCAAACTCATGACTTCATACTTGCCAGGCAGGCGCTTATGTCATTGAGCTAAATGGCCCCAAGCTTTCAGTTTTTAATCCATTTAATATGATGTTGGATGTTGCTTTATCATAGATTGAGCCTTTTCCTCCAATTTGCTGTGGGTTTTTTTTTAAATCATGAATGTTGGACTTTGTCGAATTCCTTTTCTGCATCTATTGAGATGATCATGTGATTTTTGTCTTTGGCTCTGTTTATATTGATTTGTATATGTTGAACCATCCCTGCATCCCTGGGCTGAATCCTACCTGGTCATGGTGTATAATCTTTTTGATTTGCTGCATTCTGTTTCCCAGTATCTTATTGAGGATTTTTGCAACTGTCTTCAATAGGGAGATTCACCTGTAGTTCTCCTTTTTGGTTAAATCCTCCTCTGGTTTTGAAAGCAGGGTAATGCTTGCTTCCAGGAATGAATTTGGGAGTATTGCTTCTGTTTCAATTTCATTGAATTTGAGAAGTAGTGGTGTTAGGTCTTCTTTAAATTTCTTGCTGGGCATAGTGGCACACATCTATAATCCCAATACTTGGGAGCCTGAGGCAGAAATATCACCATGAGTTTGAGGCCAGCCACAGTTATATAAGGGAGTTCAAGGCCAGCCTGAACTGCATGGTGAAATCCTGTCTCAAAAAAAAAAAAAAAAAATCTTGTAGAGATGAAGGAAGCAGAGCAGAGGAAGGAGGAGCTTCACAGTGGAACCCGGTGACAGCACTTGATCAGAGGTCAAGGATGACATCAGGGACAGGACACTGAGCCAGGTGCTATAGGACACTGCACTCTGGGAAAGACACAGCTGCCTCGGCTTCTGCCAAGTGTACACAACCCAAACCCAGTTACAGCTGAACATCAGGAAACACAGCAGAGGGACATCCCACGAAACAGTCATGCTGTGCTCTCTAGAAATGTTACAGTCAGCTAGGTGTGGCATCCAGGCCTCCAGCCCAGCTGTCTGGGCGGCTGAAGCAGGAGGATTGCATGTAGCTCACTGGTGGTGGTGGGGATAAAAAAGAAAAGAAAATCAGAACTGAAGGGCTGCCCTGGAATAAGGAACCAAAGAACCAGGACAAGAAAATCCCACGTGCAATCCTGGATTGGATCCACAATTGCTCTCTACCCTCTACCCTGAAATACTATGGGGAGACAGCACGGGGTTGTCAGGAAAGTCTAGTTCAGACTGTGAACTATCAAAAAGCTCTACATCAATGTCTAGTCCCTGATTGAGAGCATAGAGCCTGGTTGTATGAAAAAATACCTTGCCTTTGCTGGGGATTTAGCTTAGTGGTATGAGTGCCTGCCTAGCAAGCATGAGGTTGCGAGTCCAATCCCTGGTACCAAAAAAGGAAAAATATTTTGCCTAAAAAATTCATACAAGAGGGCTAGGGATTCAGCTCAGCGGCATAAGCGCCTGCCTTGCAAGTATGCGGTTGTGAGTTCGATCCCTGGTACCGATAAAAATGAAAAAGAATGCATACAAGGGCTAGATATGTAGCTCAATGAGATAGTGCCTACCTAGAAAGTGCAAGGTTATAAATTCAATTCCCACCACAAACAACGACGACAACAAATGCATACAAAGCTTGTAAAACTGGTATTGATGGTGGCACACCACTATAATCCCAGAACTTTGGGTCCTGAGGCAGGAAGATCACTGTGAGCTCAACACCAGCCTGAACTATATAGGGAGACCTTGTCTCAAAAAACTAAAAACAAAAACAAAAAACAAGCAGAAGCCAGGGATTTAGCTCAACTGCATAAGCACCTGCCTTGCAAGCATGGGGTCATGAGTTCAATCCATAGTACCAAAAAACAAATCAAAACAGAAAAAACATGCAAAGCTGGGTATGATGGCACATACCTGTAATCCCAGCACTGGAGAGGGTGAGGCAGGAGGAGTGTCTCAAGTTTGAGACCAGGCTGGGCTGCATAACATATTCAAGGCCAGCCTGGACTACATAGCAAGACCCTATATCAAAAAACAAAAATATAGGGGCTGGGGATTTAGCTCAGTGGCATAAGCACCTGCCTTGCAAGCAGGCGGTCGTGAGTTCAATCCCTGGTACCAATTTTTAAAAAAAGGGAAAAAACCCTGCAAAAATAATTAGCAATAAGGGCTTGAAGTAAACTCAGGGGTGCAGCACCTGTCTAGCATGTTCAAGGACCTGGGTTCATCTCTAGGACTGAGGAAAAAAACATGAAAGACAAAAAGATGCTTAGCAAGGCTGGGGATTTATCTTCACTTGTGCCTGCCTGACAAGTGTAAGGAGGTCATGAGTTTAGTCATTGGTACAAAAAAAAAAAAGAAAAGATATTTAGCAATAAATAAATAAATTTCTTATAGCATTCCATGGTGAACCCACCTGGGCCTGGAAGATTTTTGGCTTTTTTTGAGGTTTTTTGTGTTTTTTGGTTTTGGTAGGATTTTAAATTGCATCTTCAATTGCATTGACTGATACTGGTTTATTTAGTATTTTTTATCTGCTTGGTACAGCTTTCATAATTCATGTGTATCTAGGAATTTGTCCATTTTTTCTGTTTTCCATCTTGTTACAGTATGGGTTCACAAAGTGGATATTGATAATCTGGATTTCTGCAGGGTCTGCTGTGATTTCACCCTTTTCATTCCGAATCGCATGGCTTTGTGTCTTCTTTTTTGTTGTTGTTGTTGTTTTTGCAGTATTGGGGATCGAACTCACACTTGCCAGGCAGGTGCTTATGCCGCTGAGCTAAATCCCTGGCCCTAAGTCTTCTTTTTTTTTTTTTTGATAAGGTTGGCTAAGAGTTGTCAATTTTATTTAATCCTTTAGTCAAGTATTTGATTTGTTGGTTCTTTCTGTTTTTTCTTAGTTTCCACTGCATTAACTTCTGCTCTGATCTTTGTAATTTCCCCCCTTGTATGAGCTTTAGACTTGACTTGCTCTTCTTTTTCTAGAAGTGTGAGATTCAACCCTAGGTTATTTATTTGAGCTTGCTCTGTTTCTCTGAAATTCACTACTGTAAATTTCCCTCACAGGGCTGCTTTCATTGAGTTCCATAGTTCTAGTATGTTGTATCAGCATTATTGTTTAATTGTATAAACTATAATTTCTTATTTAATTTCATCTGTGACCCATTGGTTGTTCAGCAGGGTGTTATCTAATTTCCATATGTCTATGAAGTTCTTGTGATTTCTTTTTTTTTTCCCCCTTTGGTACCAGGGATCGAACTCATGACCATGCGCTTGCAAAGCAGGCAGGCATTTATGCCGCTAAGCTAAAACCCCAACCCCTGCTTATGATTTCTTTTTTTTTTTTTTTTTTTTTTGTCTTTTTCCTTTTTATCGGTACCAGGGATCGAACTCACGACTGCCTGCTTGCAAGGCAGGCGCTTATGCCGCTGAGCTAAATCCCCAGCCCCTGCTTGTGATTTCTTTAGCCATTGATTTCCAATTTCATTGCACTATGGTCTGACAATATGCATGGGATAATTGCAGTCCTTTGCATTTACTTAAGCATGTTCTGTGAATTATTATGTAGTCTATTTTGGAGGCTGCCCATCTGCAGCTGAGAAGAATGTGCATTCTAAAGTGGGTTGGAACACTATGTAGACATCTACTAAGTCGATTTGCTCAAAGTTTGGTTCAGTTCTGGTATTTTTCTTAAAAGCACTAATATCTTTATTATGGCATAAAGTAGTATTTTATATATTAACTCATTTTACAGTAAAAATTTGTGTACAACTGTAGAGAAACCATTGCAAAGATAGCCCCAACATAAAAAAGGTTGTTATTCAAGTCCATTTAGCTGTTTAACACAAAAATTGGAAAATATTTTCTCTGTAGGAAATAGTAAAAAAGCCGGGTGTGGTGGCTCACACCTGTAATCCCAGCACTCAGGAGGCTGAGGCAGGAGGATC